TATAAAAGGTACTAAGCTCAGTTTGCCGCTGTTAGTAAAAAGACAAATGAGAAAATGTGGTGGTGAAAAGCTTTTCCCCCCTTCCTAGTGGATCTCAACTCTTCAGAGATTCTTAACCAAAGCCAGTGCACACTTTGTAGGAGGCTGAGATCATTATTGTGAAAAGAGGGGCTCCGTGCAGCCCCACAGGGCCTGTGGCCTCTCGGATCTGTTTGACTCTAGGCCTGGTGGACATAATTGTGTAATGCTTGCTCTTCTCAGATCTTTATTATTTGGATGGATAGTTTTCCCCTTCGCCTCCCGCTTATGGTCAATTGTGTTAAAGCAAGTGGCTGAGGTGAATGTACCTTGGCCATTGATCCGTTGTTTCATGAAGGGCTAATATATTGAGTTGTGCAAGTTGATGAATAGCCCTGGTAAATTAAAAGGCTGAGGAGAAAGCAGGAGAGCTGTAAAGTCTTAACCCTTTCTTCAAAGGCAGGGGAAACAATGATGTAAAGAAGGGGTGATATTTCCCAGCATTATGAACCTGCTACTGCTCAGAATGCCATGAGGAAGCTAAGTTTCATTTCTCACAGGGAGTGAATTGCATGGGGAGGGATAGCTCAGTGGTTTGAGCATTGGCCTGCTAAACCCAGGGCTGTGAGTTCAATCCTTGAGGGGGCCATTTAGGGAACTGGGGTAAAAATCTGTCTGGGGATTGGTCCTGCTTTGAGCAGGGGGTTGGACTAGATGACCTCCTGAGGTCCCTTCCAACCCTGATCTTCTATGATTCTCCAGTGTAGCTGTGGGTCTGGTGGTCTTGGTGTGCTCTGGCTTTTCCTCTCAGGAGACAGGGATTCCAGTCCTGTCCTGGGTCGCAGTTGGAGCTATTTTTACAGGTGGTCTCCTATTTCTAATTGGCCAAATACAGGCTTCCTCTTCGAGGCTGAGAAGAGTGTGATATTTGTGCCCCAAGCCCCCTGCAAAATGTATGGAGTTCACATTCCTTCAGCTCCTTTGTAGAGGGGTCCCGGGCTGCTGGGAAGTGCCTAGCATTTTGATGCATGCCCTTTCCGTCTTGTGCCTCTGGCATGGCAATCTGTGTGTACTGTCCAGGCGCTCCTGGGCTAGTCTGGTAGCAAATTCAAGATTGGGGTTGAAATTGTAGAGGGTCCGGATTTGCTCCCATGCATCTGCAGAAGTGATCTTCAGAGTCCGTTCAGTATCTCTAGATCCCACTTCACAGGCTAGATGGAATCTGGGGGGC